GTTTTACATTATTTGTATATCTCCTGAAAAGTCTCAATAATCATGATTATGCTAAATACTTACCTCTCTGTGTCTTTTCTATTGACCCATGAAAGTGTTTTTCACATTGTCTCTGATTTTCAGCTTGGATTCAGATTGCTCTGTTGTCAAATTTGTCTTCCAAATTAAAAAAAAAAAAAGAAAGACTTAAAATCATACTTTAACAGTGAGTGATATAGAAAAGAAATTGCCAGTCTTCCCTAATTACCTTCTAACTCCATAGCTAAAAGAAACCTTTGTTCTGAAAGCTTAGAACACTGGAACATTTACCTCATCTGTCAGAGGAATACATAACTTGAAAGCTATATAACTTGAAAGTTTTGCTCGTGCCCAATGCTCTGTGCTATCTTTGTATCATTTTTTTATTTGGTTTTTAAATTATTCTATTGTATTTTTATTGACATGTAATCAGTCCATATTAAGAAGGGTCATTATGATTTTCTTACATATGAATGCAGCATATACCATTTAAAATCCATCCTCTCCACCTCTCTATCCTTCTCACCACCAGCATATAAACTTCCACATCTCCAGTAATCACTCTTGTACCTTCAGGTTCACATTCATTTTAGCTTCCTCACATGAGGGAGACCATGCAATACACTTGGCTTTCTCTTTCTGATCTCTTACCATAAGGTCCCCCAGTTCTCTCCTCTTTGCTGCAAATGGCAAGATTTCTTTCTTCTTTATGACTGAATACAAATACATTGTGTATATGTAATAGACCATGTTTTTCACTCATCTGTTGATATAAACATTATAATATAATCTTAGTTTTTAGAGTGTCGTAATTTTCCTGAACATGCAGGAATCTCTGTTGTATGTTGATTTCATTTCTTTCATCCATGTACCAGAACTTGGATTATAAGGAAGATCTGTTTATGTTTGAGGAAACCCCATACTGTTTTTTTTTTTAAAATAATGGTTATCCTAATGTACATTCCCATCAACAATATAATGTGCCCTTTTTCTACATACCTCTCCAATATTTATTATTTGGTGTTGTGGTGGTGGTAATTTGTGTTTCTTATTTTTCTTTTTGTGTTTGGATGATAGCCATTCTAACAAGGGTAAAATAATATTTCTTGTTAGTTTTGACTTGCATTTTCCTGATAGCTAATAATATTGAGCATTTTTAAAATGTATTTATTGGTCAGTTGCATATTAAGATTATTTGCCCATTTTTAAGTATATTACTTGGAGTTTGTTAACTTTTTATTTCCTTATATATTGTCAATTTAATCCTTTGTTAGATGAATATTTGGCAAATATTATCTCCCATCTGAGCATGTCTTTTTAGTCTACTGACTGTTGTTTAAGAGCTTTTTAGTTTCATGTGATCTATTTGCCTATTTTGCTTATAGGATCATGTAAAAAAAATCACTTGAATCCATGTTGAGGTGTTTTCCCCTAGTTTATTTTGCGGTTCAGGTCTTACAGTAAGGTCTCTGAACCATTTTGGTTAATTTTGTACAGGTGAGTGATAAGGGTCAAGTTGCAATTTTCTGCATGCTACATTTATATAAGTTTTGGTAACTTTGTTGAGAATCAGTTGAGTATAGATGCATGTGTTTTTCACCCCCTGGGGATATCCTTTCTCTTCCATTGTTCTATTTGCCTATTTTAATGCCTGTGCCAAGCTGTTTTGCTTATGGTGGTTCTTTAGTGGGCCTTAAAGCAAGGCATTGTCCTGCCTCCAGCTTTGCTCCTTTGCTCAAGATTGTCTTGACTGTTTGGATTCTTTTGTGCTTCCACGTGAATTTTAGGATGGTTTCTTCTGGTTCTGTAAAGAACTTCTTTGGTATTATTATGGGAATTGAATTGAGCCTGAAAATTGATTTAGATAGAATGATCCTTTTAATTATGTTAAATCTTCAATTTCTGAACATGGGAGATTCTCTCTCTCTCTCTCTCTCTCTCTCTTTCTCTCTGTGTTTTCTTCAATTTCTTTTTGTAATATCCATTGTAGAGGTTTTTCACTTCCTTGGTTAATATTTTTTAATCAAGTAAACTTTAAATCTGTAGTTTTGATATTGGATACTTAAAAAAATAAAAATTATTGTTCACCTATTCGTAATTTCCTTTTTAGAGAGTCCCCCAAAAAAGAACATTTTCCTACTTTAATTTTTAAATTTTTACTACTTTAGTTTCTTCACCTGTAAAATGAAAGGATTGAGTAAAACGATGGCCAGCATTAAAATTAGCTAAACTATATTGTTCTACTGGTGAGTATATGATTCAGAGAAATTATCAAGAAGGTCACAAGGGGCAGGATGGCCAAATAGATTATATTTTGAGACAATTGAAGATGACAGGCTCTATTTCCTAAGATGGAAAAACTTCCCTCTCAATTTTTCTTTCCGTCTCTCTCAAATTCTGTTTATGAACTTAACCTCTGTGTTACCTCAAATTTACTTTGAAATAAAAATTTGTCACTTTTATGTTTATAAATGCATGTCATTATTTATGTATGTTTGCCTTTTTCCTCATAAAACTTGAATGTATTCTGCTTTTATTCATCTGTTCCACAAATATACAAATTTGTACATAGATTCTCTCTATTTGGTCTTTATCTATGCTGGTTTTTTACATGGGTCTTTCAGTGGTTACCATCTATATGAAAGATTCATATGTAAAACCAGCACAGGTAAAGACTGTGTGTGAGTGTGTGTGTGTGTGTGTGTGTGTGTGTGTGTGTGTGGAGAGAGAGAGAGAGAGAGAGAGAGAGAGAGAGAGGTAAAGAAAAATATATATATTTACAATGATCATCCCTAATTTCTTTTGCTTTCTATATAATTCCTAATTATGCACAGGTTTAATGACAAATATGATTCTACACTGAAATTGAATTAATAGAGGTTTTTAAAGTGATCTTTTAAAATGTTTTCCAAATAAGTGTAACTTTGGGTTAGAATGGCTTAAAAACATGGTAGATTTGAATGGAGCATTTCCTAACCATTATTAAACTGGCTAGAAGGTAAAAGTCAATTTGAGACTAAAGTAAAAGTGATAATTTTTTAGCATGCTGAATATTTTCATGTCAAGGGATCTTCTAGATAGATATTGTTTAGAGTTTCTACAATTACCTTTCCCTGTTATCTCAAAGAGAAATACATTTTTTATTTTTTAATGATAATTTTTAATGTTTCCACTTCTTTAGCCTCACCCTGTGATCCTACCTTTCTCCTGGGCTGTGCTCCCTGCAATGTGATATGCTCCATTGTCTTCCATAATCGTTTTGATTATAAAGATAAGGATTTTCTAAACTTAATGAGGAAAATAAATGAAAATGTGCAGATTCTGAGCTCCCCATGGATCCAGGTGAGACAATATCCTACCCCTTCTTCCTGAGAAAACATTTATGTTCTTTACTTTGACAAGTCAAAACTTCTAGTGGTCCAAGCAGTGAAGGGAATCTAGACACCACAGTCTAACCCAGAGTTTGGTGTCATGTAGTGAGCATCAGGAAAATATGACTGAGTCCTTCACTTTATGCACAGGAAACTGAATTTGCACATGTAGAGATGACATGCAAACCTATTGGCTTTCTGGCCAGTGCTTCTCCTAATATCCCATAAAGCCTAATATTTATAAAGTACTTTGGTGACTACAATGGAGTACAAATGACTACAATCTTGTCACTCAGTGGACATCTAGTCCCCTGTGGAGAACTTATCATTCACAAGGTCTGCACTCCAATCACCACTTAGAAATTTCATCACTTTGCTTGGCACAAATACAGTTATCTGATTCTTGACAAAGGATCCAAAACATATGTTGGAGAAAATATAGCCTTTTTAACAAATGGTGCTGGGGAAATTGGAAATCCATAT